TTCTAATTGTGTTTATTTTTTTTAGACTCGAGAGACAAGACAAGTTTTACAAATGCAATACATAGCTGGCCAGATCACGGAGTGCCAGATGATTCAACAGACTTCTTAGAATTTGTGACAAGAGTTCGTAAAAGTCGTGAGGGAATGACGATGCCAACTCTTGTTCATTGTAGGTGAGGATAAGATTAGAAAAGAATTTACCATGTTGTCAACGCTATCCAACCATTGGACTTACCATAAACCAATAATAGTCATTCTTGATATGACTTCAGTCATGGTCAATATTAGTATTTTATTATCTCAAATGACAATGAGGCAGGTTATGCTATAGATTGCTCAAAATTTAATATTCAAATTTGATTGATTTCTCGTCTAATGTCTGTTTGCTTGTTTTTTCTCCCTCTAGTGCTGGCATTGGTAGGACTGGTGTTTTAATCACCATGGAAACAGCTATGTGTCTTATAGAAAGCAATGAACCAGTTTATCCTTTAGATATTGTACGATCAATGCGTGAACAAAGAGCCATGTTAATACAGACACCAGCACAGTATAAGTTTGTATGTGAAGCCATTGTGAGGGTATATGAAGGTTAGTGTTTGTAGAATGATATACATTATCACATGCTGAATATTTTAATTAGTTCTGTTCGGACAAAGTCAGAAACAGGGATTTGTAGTTTAGTTGCCGTGCATGCATCTGTCCGTGCAATCAAAGCTGTATCTCGGTCACTTCTGGACAAAGTTTCTTCAAACTTCAATATCTTATTTGATACATATTCACATGTGGTGATTTAGTGATTCGGTCAAAGATGTTTAACTGGTAACCATATTTGTTGTAAAAATACATTCAAATCAAGTATTTTGACATGTTCTGAATCAGATCTTTGGTATGTGGTGGCCCATATACTTCAAATTTGGTGGAATGATTAACCATTATTGGTAATTGATGCATGTCACTTTGATTTGTAAATTTGACCCAAAATGGCCGACAATCAGCCATTTTGTTTTTGACGAATTCTATTTTTTAGGCATGTATATCCTACATGCTTTGAGCAACTCATTTCAAATTTTATACATGAGCAGTACATCATTAAACGTCCAATAAATTTGTCATTTGATCAAGATGACCAACTGCTTGACATTTTTAGTTAAAAAAAACACTAAAATTGGGTATTCTGACATCAAAACTTCATACAAAAAAAGATGGCGATTTTGACTGTTGCGCAGACCAACGAGTACAAACTGAGACATTAGCAAGCTAGGTAATTGTATCGAAGTAGACATCGAACGGTACAAAACTCACTTTGAATTGTGGGAAAATCAATGTTTATCAACACAAATGATGCATTTGTGCAGCAAGACGACCACCACCCTTTAACATTATGTACAGAGACTATACATTTCGAAATACTTGATAGAATCATATTTTAGAACAAATTATTGAAATATGCTAAACAAGCAGCCTATCGGCTGAGATAGCTCCGCTGTTAGCAATGCACATTTCAATTAAAGAACTGAAGACATCATTAGAAAATGAACAATATGAATAGTATCAAAGCAATCGGACTTACAGTTTTTAACAAGAAGTCGAAAATATCACTTTTTACCTAAAAATTACAAAAATATTCACCAAAATAAATTAATTAGAGAATTGAAGATATCATCACAAAATGAACAAATCTGAGAAAGGTCCACGTGTAGTACCTATATATGTAATATCAAAGCAATCGGACTTGCGGTTTTTAACAGGAAGTCGAAAATATCACTTTTTACCAAAAATGACAAAAATATTCACCAAAATTAGAGAATTGAAGTTATCAACATGAAATGAACAAACCTAAGAGAGGTCTACCCAAGGTACATATACACCAAGTATCAAAGCATTCAGGCTTGTAGTTTTCAAGAAGAAGTCGAAAAAGTAAAACATTGACACGGACGACGACGACGAACAATCACTCATATGATAAGCTCCGCTCGACAAAGTCGACAGCGGAGCTAAAAAAACGAATGCAGAGGTGAACAATGCAACAGTAACAGAATCATTGTTTTTGTTTTTTTGATTTTTTTCAGATGGAATCATCAGACCACTGGATGAGTTTAAGCACTGACCCAAACTATATTAATGTCACCTTAAATTATTTCGAGAAGTTGCATCATCTGAAAAATAGAGGAGATACATTACTAAACTCATATTATGGGATGCTGATCTATTTCTGTTCATTCTCTATTCATGAAAGCAGTGTAGCCTCAATGTCAGTATTTGCATTCACGCTGCTTTGTTCGTGGAACGGCAATTGCTGCAATGCGCAACTATCCGCTGCGAGTCAAACTGAAAGGAGTGCAAAGTTAAATCTTGAATGAAGTGGTGCAAGTTGTGATAAATCTTCATGTACTGTAAATTATTTCGATATCAAAATGAACTGAAATATCCAAAATATGTTTGTATAATTGGTAATTATTCATGTTTGTTTGTTTGGTTACTTTTCTATTACACTGACCTACTATGGATCACCTTGCTACACATCACGTTTGTCATGTCGTATGAAACACACTCTGGTTTAGGCTGTATGCCTGACAGTGTCAATAATAACAAACATGGCCCTGGCTGTTGTATTAAGGTAGAAACCTACTCATAAATGCAAATACCCAGAATTTATTCATTTTGCGATAAATTGTACTCCAAGGATATTGACTTTGAGTTTGAGGTCACCAGCCTTATTTTCGAGAAAATTGATGGTTGTATTTTAGTGAATAGAGACCATTTTGTCAGTATTATTACGCTTTTATAGAAATATTATGATATACATGTATCTCAAATTGTAGGCTGGTGACATAGGCTGAAAAAAAAATCATATATTGTTGATGAAAGGGTACTGTTTGTTGTTCTGAATTATTTCAAAAATCTTGGTTTAAAAATGCATTTTTTTTTTAACATTGTGTTCTATAGAATTGTTCTAAAAATAGCAAGACGAGTTTCTTAAAAAACATCACTGTAACACACAAATTAATGCTATTTCATGGTGCCATAAGACAATAGCTCCACAATTTAACAAAATGAAGTAATGAACATTGTTATGAAATTTATGACCAACTTTCTCAAAAAGTTGTGAGTAGGCTTCTACCTTAAAATAAAATTTAATTGTTATTATAGTCTTGTGGCAATTTTGATTTGTATGTGCTTATTTGCTATGATACGTATACTTTTCTTGCACTATATTGAATTTATGAAAAATAAGACATATTTATATACTTTAATTTTTTAAAATAAGTCAAACAATTTCTTTGAAATTCATTCAAGTTTTCTTTTTGTGCTGTTTATAGTTTTTAAACATTGTTGAGAAGTGTATAGCATTTATTACATATTTTTTTTTTATCAGAACATGCTGAAAGCTTTTATTTGAATGTTACAAAGCTTATAAAATAATTTGCTGTTTTGTACAGAATGTTTGATTTAAAGAATGAAAGATGGGGAGGGGGGGGAGGGAGGGAGGGAGGGAGGGAGGGGGTAATCTAGTGACATCTGCCGCATTCCCACCAAGATATGTTTTAATAAATTCATGCAATAGTTTTATAATCAAAGTAGATGATCACTGCCATTTATTTACCGGTATCTAGTGTTATAACTGTAAACTTACTTCATGTTTCAGTTTCTTACGTTGCAGTTATCATTGCATGAATTCATAGTCCTGTTCAATATAACGTAATTTTGAAAATGTCAGATGTGCACTTGTGTAAATTAATGTTGATACTTTGCCTGAAAGAATTTCAGATTTCTGCACTCAAAATTTCTTTGACTACTATGGACATACAGCTCAGGCCCAATCCTAAAATAGTAACCCTTTCATTCACAAGGGCCCATCCCAAGATAGCATCACTTCGACTATCATTTCTAGATACCAACCTTTTTATCCTAGTAGACCAATCACTCAGACAGACCTTTTGATGCATTGCCTACATTTTATTTCTGAACACCAACAAGATTTATAAGACAAGAGTATACAACTTTTGTAACCATGTACTGCGACATACTAGTATATTGAATATTTGGGTGAAACAAACTCTTCTGCTTTGTGAGTGATGAAGATCCCACTCCACAGATGCATCATTTGAATGCATTAGCATAATTGAATGCAGTAGGCGCTTCAAAAAGTTTGATTGCATATACAAAAATAAGTGTATTTAAAAAAAACAAAAAAAAAACGTTGAGGATACTATCAAAAAAAGTCCAAGATGAACACACTAATCAGTTCTTTCAGTTTATTTACATTAGAATTTATGAAAATGTATGATTTTGTAATCTACTCCGCATATCACTTGCAATCCCCTCATTTTATAAATTGCACTTTCATCAAGAAATAACTTGGACAGACATAAGAACAAAGCTACACATTAATAGTGTAAACGTGTATCTTATCAAATTGATATATAAAAAAAGTATGTTGAATGTATAAAAAAAAAATTTACGTTTATGTTTGTATATAGGTAATTTATGTATTTAGGAATTGGTTGCTAGTTTAAAATTGATTCAGAGATATTTAATAAATTAAACTGATTAGTGACTTGTTTTATCTTTCATTCTCACTGTAAAATCTCCCATCAGGCGTATTTTTGTATTTAATAATTTGTTTCGTAACAAATTTGTTATTAATTTGCCAATCGTCTGTCGGTGCTGATTTTTGTGTGCGTTAATCATGTCTCCATGTTCTAACGACTTACAAGGGAGATATTAATTTTCCTCATCTTTATGTTGTCACCAACTACAATAGGATAGACGGCTGGTTTACTGCACAGTGATCACAATTATTTTGAAAGATCAAATTTGATTGGATGTATAAAAGTGTTATGATTGGTGAAATGAATAATCAGCTCTGACAGTGCACCAATTAACTGCCATGTTACATTGTATTTATACTCCTGTTCAAACCCAAATGGATACTATTTTTAATACTTGGTGTTTGTATCTGAAGACTTTTAGTCTGTCAATCTGTATAAAAAATGCTTCTCAAAAATAAAAGCCAATTTCTTTTTCAATAAAACCAACAAACGGGTATCGTATTTATTTCTTCTACTCAGAATAAGGTTACAGATCAGATCCAATAAAATACCAGTCTTCACACCACGTCAATGAATCCCATGTGAAATGTACAATGAATGTAAAATACATTGTTCATTTATTTGAATACTGGATGGGTGAGTTTCAACGATACAATCTTAAGCGGGGGAAGTCTTCATCTGCGTATGCGGCTAACGACCATAGGATTGTGGGAAAATCGATGTTACCAACTCAAATGTCATACATGTGACGACTGCCGCCACCCTTCATATTCTGCAGCTGAATTGCTCAATACCAATCTACAATCTCAACACTACTTATTTGGCAAGGACGTGGCAGCTTACAAATTTTAACGACCTTGTTATTTAATGAGTATGTTTTGATACAAACAAAACATGTATTTGTGTTCGTTAATTGGTGTTCTGCAGTAAAGATACGATAATCTTGATTATGTGTGTTGGAACTAAATCAAACGTCTTCAGATTGTATTTGCTGGTTAACTTTAACTTGCGAGATAGTCTTCAGTCTTTCTGTTAAAACTGGAGAAAAATTGAAAACACTTAGATGTTCATTTCCATAATACGAGTACCTTTTAATGCCTTTTTTGCCAAGAATTGACCTCAAGTTTTTATTTCGAGTTAGAAGGTTTTGGTAGAACTCTAATCCACCTTCCTTATATTCAGGGCCGAGCATTGCAACTTTTCTGTCGCTTAGTGTCTTTGTTCTGTTTTGTACAACTCCTGAAATGCCGAAATAACATACAAGTCCAACACATGCGCATCCTACCGTTGCGAGTCCTGGTATGAAATGTACTAAGTATTTCATAGCTTCACCAACGACGTACGACGCAACAATAAACACTGGGGCAACAAAAGTAGGAATAAGATTTTGAATACTGTTAGCTTCTATTAGTTCTCTAGCAATGTAAAATTTTCTGGCATTTTCGCTCAGAATCAACGACTCTGCGAGTGATTTTCCACACTCCGACTCCCAATCAATTCTTTCCCTGCCAATTTGCATGTTACTTGCAACCACTTCACTTGGTCGTTGCATGCTAAATACGTCTGGGATTCCAATATACAATCCATTTGGTAGCCATCTTGTCCCAGATGTACAGATATTGGTGCCGTAAGACGCAAATAAGTGATATTTTTCTCTGTCCTTGATGCTCAGATCATAGCACACTTGATCAAATTCATGTCCAGATTTCATCGATAATTGTCTCTCTTCCCCATCTTTGTAGCTTTGATATACTCGCTTTACAGTTTGCTGCGGGAATAGTAGCGGTATTCCATTGAAAAAACACATTCCACCGGCCGCTAAACCCACTAGAATATGACGTGCATTTCTTGATCGTAACATGTTGTAAAAGATACTGTTCCAGTAAGTTCTTAAATCCCAATGTATTCACTGTGAAAGAAATTCTATGTTAAACACTGGAAAACAAACATTTCATGGGGAGGCTAGAACACACGACTACAATTATGCGAGTGTCTGTGTGTGGGGAATAAAACACCTGTTGGTAGTTGTAGAGTTTCAGTGTAACTACCTCACTAATGGTCATCATTTAAATAACACTGTCCTCGTGCAATTTAGTTGATTCAGACCAAAACAAGGTTTACATCTGGAAACCTATGCTACCTTGTGGTGTTTTTAGCACGAGGGAAAAAAGAGTCGTGTTACTATTATAACTAACATATGAAGAAAATAAACTGGCTACTTCAAAAATGGCATGAAGACAACGTATGGAGCTACAGAAATAAACAAAAGGGTAACATAACCAATAATGGTATAATTAATATAATTTATAACTGAATTAGATATTAGAGACAGAATGTTTACAGGAAACACCTAAGTCATTCATATGCCGGTAAATGCATACTGATATACAGGGCATTAGTCAGAAATGATAAGTGCTTGTCAAAAATATGTTAAAAGCTTGATTCTGGGCTTGATTTGCCAAAAGTCTCTAAAAATGAAAGAAAAATTAAAATAAAATGTTGCCTGTCTGTCAAAAAAAAAAATATAGTAGCTGTGTATATATAGCAAACAGTTTTCCAGATCAGAAGCATCTTTTCAAGATTTCTCGCTGATCAAAGATTCTTTAGTGATTAAGTTTTCAAACAACTTGGGGCAATCATCAAATTGCATGTGGAATCCTCTGATTGATGAACCAATCACAAAATCAATTCAACTTAAAGCAATTATATCCATTAAGAGGCACACCAGATTTTTGGTTTGTTTCCTGTACACCCATTTAATAGATTCCTACCTTCTGAATTTATTGGATGACTCTTTAACTCTTGTTGCTAATGTGTCTAAGATTGAACACACAAACATCACACTACTTCCTAGAGTAGTTCCAGATTAAAATGATTCTGTCACTGAGCGACACTAGGAATTGGGATTCAGCTTGAATGACTCATGAACACCACTGAATTAAGTTCAAAACTAAATTTACTTCAAATATTACTGTGAAGAAAAAAGCAAACCAACCAGTTGCATTGTATAATATAGCTCACTGTAGCAATATTGATAACAGCTTTATAACATTAAAAACTATTACATTTCAAATATCAATACTGCTATTTTGTTTGCAAATTGTGAGCTACATTGCAATGCTGCTAGCTGGGCTGCTTTTTTGTTCACAGATTAAGGATTCCAACATTGTTACAATGGACAATATAACTTGTATGCATACACAAAAATGAAATATACCCAGTCATACATTGCACTAGTTTTATACGTTCGACATTTCTGGTATTTTGTTTTCAACAGCTGCTCGTATGATAAGATTTAACTGTATATGGTAAATATAATGGTGTGAATTGAATTCCTGCACAGAAGCCGCTTCCTGAATTTCTGCTATCAATGTTATCAAACCATTGATTTGCTGTCGAGAACGCAGTCGGATATACTGTTATTATCAAATCACGTTATGTCCATCAGGACGAAGGAAAACATGCAGACGAGTGACCTGCACAATTCCTGTATAATGTCAGGCATCAATACATGATGATTCAAGTACTGTCTGTAATGTACTCGAAACCTGGCCATGGAGGAAAATGACCTGACAGACAGAACACGTGACAAGCATCACAGGTCTGTGCCAGCACAACAGATGTTGATGTAGGACAGTGTTACATTCCCTATTTATACTTTCGACGCGTAGAAATACTTTAAAACAACAGTTACCTGCACCAAGCTTTGAATAGTGAGTTTTGTGTTATAGTAACGTGTTTCAAAGGGTATCAGTGCACCGGCCATCCATCTTTGAAAACACTGAGGGTCACCCTATGACGTCATACATTTGTAGGGCTTCTCTTCGGCGCATGCGTTAGAGTAGTGTTGGAGGGTGGCGGTGTTTGTTGGAATCATTCATTCTCTCTTGAAATCTACCCAATTTTCGGTCGATTTTTCAGACATCGGCTGTAAATAGACAATACTGCACTTATCCACGAGTGTTAATATTTGTCTTAATGTGATAATTACAGTCGCCGATCGCTGGAGATGTTGCGTTTTCTGAGGAATTCTTTTCGAAGACGGCCGTCCCGCAACCGCAGGAAAGCAGAACAAGGGACGAGCGAAGTTCGGGTTCCCCCCATCAAGCCAAAAAAGAATCATTTGATATGCCGAGTTATACTTTTAGACGAAACAGACCAAACGTTTGAAATACACGTAAGTTCCGCCTTTATCTTCTTCTTTTCCCGATTAACAATTTGAGAAATTGGGTTGTTTATTCAGTAGAAACTGGGCTGGAAAACATGACAGACGCCAGACTTTTCACTGTGTTTTGTACTTGATAAACGTCCCTACTTCTGCGTTACACTATGGCACAGTAACTCGGTTTGTTCTGTATCAGTACTGTTCTGTGTTCGGTGTCAAATGTGCCTTTCCCGCTGAGTGTACAGATAGTATAAGCGCGACCCGACCAGCAGGAGACTTTCCATAATAATGCAATTGCTATGACGTTTACTCGATTCCTGTTGCTCGTTGGCGAGTTTTAGTGTAATTTTTTTGTTGTAATAAATTTACCGCGGTGTTTCTAAATGTATAGTGGAAAACTGTAAATTCAACAAGTATGTTCACATGTAAATTGGTCGATTGAATTTCTACCTAGAGAGCACTGTAAAAAAAACATAACATTATCAGCATAATTATTATAAATTAAGTATGACTTTCATTTTTAATTCGGATAAAATATGAAAATTGTATACCACACATGGAGTACAACAATAAATTATTGTGTTCTAGAGTTTAGTACGGAGTATAATTGGCTTAGTTTGCAATTCAATAAAATTTTCACATAGTGGGTTGTTTCTTAATAGATATGTGGATGAAAATATATCATGTTCTCAGTGCCAAATACAGTTTGACACCTTTTTGTCATTGGAAATCATACACCATTCATTTGTCTGATTGCGATGGTCTGGTCATGGAGCTATGAAAGAAAATAGCTGCATGATTTGGTAGTCATCTGACAACCACATTGGTAAAGAGGCTGATCAAAGTCGCATCAATATGGCAACTAGTCTCCCTCATGACCTTGGTCTTTCCCTTTCTGTTACTTTGTGGTAAATACCTTTTTTAAACCATCAATGTTGTGAGTCAATTGATGGAAAATAAGTGAGTAGCAGTTAATTGACATTTGTCTATCACCATACTATATTGTTACACAACATTCTTTTTAACAAAACAATTTCATTGAGAGCTCATGAAAGTATGTACATAGTGTGAAAACAAAAAGACATGACCTTATTCTATCCTCAGAGTATTGAGTCACTTCTATCTGAGATTGTTAAGATTAGACCCAATGTGTAAATAAAACCAAAGTTCATCGTTTTGACATTCAAGTTGAAACACCAAGTCAGTCTAAAATGATTGGGTACTGTTCGTGCATGTGTGGCTACATATTTGTTTGTGCTGCATGCATGTGTGTGTGTGTGTGTGTGTGTGGTGTTGGCTGGCTGATTTTATTCAAACTTGGCACAATGATAACAAAGTACGGCTGTATGGTTTTTCCAAGATGTCTGATCTATCTAATTTGTTTTACCACCATGATGAACTCTGGTGTTAATGATTCAAATCAAACGAAACAGGAAATTGGTCTCAGTCTCCTGTTACTGTACTGATATAAATCGCTTTTAATTTCTAGAGACAATTTGTACGTGATTTTCACAAGTCATTGAAAACTGTTAAATTTCTTAAGAGTGATGACTTTAGTTCAGATTCATTCATATCTCACGAACACCACTTTATCAATCAGTCACTAGCAGCATAAATTGAAGAGTTAATGGTGTTATGATAATTTAATTTCATGTGGCTAACCTGCCATATTGTCAATGTCCAGAAAATCGTAGACGTTAGTAATATTTTCTCCAAGGTCTATAAGCAAGTATATGACTAGGTTCTTGCTTTCAAGTGTGTATTTTATTTATTTTAATGAATATTTTTTCCCCTGTAATGTTTTCTGTAAAAATTTTTTTTTCCTTTTGAATGCGCAATCCCACTGAGTTTCTAATAGCTAACCCTTTAGCAAGATAAACAAAATGTACTAATAACTTTATTACGCAACTGTAACTGATATAGTGTTACAACACAAATAATACTGTAGGATGCTTACAGTCATGTCAAGACACAGTCTGAAAAGTCTACACAGTGCAAAGCATTGCCTGACACCAACACAGTAAATATTATCTGTCAAATTGTCAATTTATTTTTTAATTGTCATAGTCCAGACTTTGTTTATTTTTTGTGAAGGCAATGTTGCTGATAGATGGTGCGACAAAGCCTTGATTTTTTTTATGTGTTCAGGATAATGGGGTAACACTGTGTAGGTTATTTTGGCCCCGCTTGTTATGTACATTGTTATGTACACGAAGTAGCTAGTATGTATTCTTTCAGTACAGTAAAGAAAACTTGATAGGAATCGCAGCCAAGCTGAGATCTTGGTATAAGTAGTATTTGATAATATATATAAACTACTAGTTAGTATAACTAAACTAATAATTATTACTATGAATTTTAAATTTTTGAAGCCTAATATTTAAATATTTGATCATGTAAATTAATTAACAAGAAACGTACACAAATAACTTTTAAAAAAAAACTCTGCAAGAAACAGTTTTTATTGAGGAATGTGTATGTCTTGCCTTGAAAGGATTGTTATTGACCACACCCTGTTCTCACCATGCCATATCAGTTTAAACTCTTTAAATCTTACAACAACAAAATATTTTGGTATTTTAACATAAAAATTTATTAATTAAAGTTGTATTATTGTTTTGAGTGTTTTGGCCAATTGCATGAATCAAAACTACACATGGCCAATTAAAAAAAATGTATAAACTAAGATATGGGTTCATGTAGTTCACTGAACACCAATTTTTTCATTTAGCTTGCAATTTAGTGAATGAGTGATTGATAATATACAATAAACCCGATACTACAATCTACTCCTTACGTCATTCTCAAAGAATGCACATGGCCATGGTGAATGTTTATTTGAAAAAATATTTTACAAAGCGAGGAAAAACATGTTGACATTACTAATACTGTATCTATATTTTTATGTATGCATATCCAAAGTATCCAACTAAGTAAATATTTGAAATCTGTTAGAATTCTTGGGCTGTTAATTTTCCACCCAAGGATATGCATTCTATTTTATCAAAATATTGTAACAACCTGTTTTTAAAGAGCCATTCTTGTTTAAAATTGTCAGGTCTAATTGTGATTAAATGAGGTGGAATTACTGCTTATTACTAAAATAGTATTCTAATTGTCAATTCACTTTAGTAATAGTACTACAGTTTGTTCTTCACTTTGAAATCATTTCATTGTGATCTTTAAACAATTATGTAGAATAAAATACGGTCCGAATTTGTGCAACTTGTGGGAAAGTTTAATATTCAGTTATTTTCCGCATGTCTGAATGTTGGCTTCCTAGATGTTGGTTTGTACAACTTTTATTTGCTAACACTTCAAAATATTGTTCCAACACTTGATTCCCAAGAATTTATTTCTGTTTTGAAATTCCCACAGGGATTAGGAATACTAGAGAATCTATGGAATCAAAAAAAAAAAAATTCTAGCAATTTACATATATTACCAATAAATATTTCACATAATAGCCTGAGACTTTAGAAATGATGTCAGAGTTCAAGTTTAACACATAAAAGATGAATACATATTTATATGATTGTCTAAAGCATGCAAAAATTGGTATTTATTTTCTTGTTTTTGAAACTTTAAAAAATCAGATGTGTGTATAATATTTCTGCTATGCATTTGAATGTTTGTATGTCCATATTACATGCAGTGCACATGTACCATTCAATACAACTAACAAGTATATCCTAGCAGTAGTGACCTTTTTATGTTTAATAATTAAATAAGGTTATTACTTATTGCAACAGGATTATTTAATTGTACAAGTGTACTTTAGCTCTTTTTTCATGCTTGTCATATTTTTGCAACAATCTCACAACAATATCTGCAGTGGTATAATTCATTTCCATTTAGTGAAATTGATCAACATCATCGTCATCGTCATCGTCATCCCTGGTGTCATTGACTCAAGCAACACTAATGAGAATACATCCAATAACACGCTCTCCAACTGTGTTATATTATTAAGCAAAATATCTGATGTATCCATCTGTTCATTTTAGACATATTTCACGGATGTTGGGTGTTTCCATGACAACAGCTCATCACTGCATCTTTTGCATTTACTATAAATGGTACATATGGCATCTCTGAAGACAGTTTGACTGTAGTGATTAATTCCTGTTTAGTGTAGAAGCGTAGATCACACATCTTAGTGTTGCATCATGCACAAATTGTTTGATTGATATACACAGGTTTTTTATGACTTAAAAAAATACAACTCATAATTTGTTGTCATTAGTTTCATAATTAAACTGCTCAGTAAAGTGTGACTGGTCAATGACTAATTTTAAAGCAAATCGCAAACATGGCACCCAATGCATAGAGGTGTAGTGCATATTGTATTTTGTCTAGATCTATTCACGGTCCACTTAATTCATCTCTGTATTGAAAAACCCTATGTTTTGCTGTACCATACGGCAAAGCAACCAACACTGTGGCATTCTGAGCTCTGGAATCGACCCCTTGTGTAATTTCTAATATGCGATTTTCAAATCAATTTGGTAGTTACAGCATGTAACTGTAAATGTATGTGTAAATCTATTCAACATAATAAATTACATATAGCTATGTCATGATATTCTCCTACAATTTATTAAACACATTATTCAGTTTCAGTTCATATTATGAAAATTTAAACTTATAACAACTGTAAATATAACATGGAATGATAACACACCACTCTGATTTTAATAATACTTTAATATCAAAGTTTTTTAATTGTTATCACATGCTGTATTTGCTCTATTATAGAGTAGCTCATATCCAATAGAAGTGTATATAAAACAAAATTAAATGTATTGTAGATTGAATTATTAAAATATGACTTATTTTCCCCATACAAACACATCTTTAATGTACCTGTTAAAGTGCTTGTGCTTCTAATAGAGAAAATATGGTATTTATTCGGTTAGTAGCATTTATCCAATTGCAAGCATGTATAAAACCAGAAATTATTAACCTATTGATATTTTTCCCGCCAAAATTCAGTTCAAATATTTTCACAT